CACTCCAGTCTGGGCGACAGAGTGAGACTCCAACTCAAAAATAAAAATAAATAAATAAAATAAGGGGTCTCAGTGATTTAACAGACAAAACTATCAAATATATATATTGCTGGGCTCGGTGGCCTAACCTGTAATCCCAGCACTTTGGGAGGCCAAGGCGAGTGGACTGCATAAGCCCACGGGTTCAAGTCCCACCTGGGCAACTTGGCCAGACCTTTTCTCTCTAATAAATCAAAAATTAACTGGGCGTGGTAACACGTGCCTGTAGTTCCGGCTACTTGGAAGGCTGAGGCAGAAAGATTGCTGGAGCCCAGCAGGTCGAGGCTACAGTGGCCAGGAGTGCGCCACTGAACTCCAGTCTGGGCGACAGAGTGAGACTCCAACTCAAAAACATAAAACGGCCGGGCTCGGTGGCTCAGCCTGTAATCCCATCGCTTTGGGAGGCTGGGCAACAGAGTGAAACACTGATTCAAAAAAAAAAATGAAATGAAAAAATGTACTAGCCACTTGCGGTAACTCACACGTGTAATCCCAGCATTTGGGAGGCTGAGGGAGGAGGATTGCTTGAGTTCAGGAGTTTGAGACTTGCCTGGGCAACATGGTAAGACCCAGTCTCAAAGAAAAAGAAAAAGAAAGAAAGAAAGAAATATACTTACTGTTATTCGATGGCAATTTGATTGTCTACCTAGAAAACTAAAAGAAAAAAGCTAGAAATTTTTAGTTTTTTTGTTTTTATATTTCATACAGAAGAGGGTCTGGCTATGTTGCCCAGGTTGGTCTTGAACTCCTGAGCTCACAGGATCCTCCTGCCTCAGCCTTCTGAGAGTTGAGTTTGCAGGTGTGCACCGCCATGACTACATGGAAATGATTAGATTTCTCAGAGACCATTAATAAGATTTTTAAAATAACGTAGTCAAAATTAAAAATATTCTGGTGAAAACAAAACCCTTAAAAATACAATGGAATAGAAAATGCCTAGAAATAAATTAACACAAAATGGATGTGATTTACATAGCAAAAAAGTACAAAGCTTTATTAGATTTACCATGTTCATGGAACCTCAATAAAGTAACCTGTAAAATTTGCCCAAATCATTAAGCTTAGTGAAATTTTGACAAAAATATGTTGAAGTGCTTCAGAAAAAAAGCTAATGATGAGCCAGGCTCAGTGGCTCAGCCTGTAATCCCTTTGGGAGGCTGAGGTGAGTGGATTGCCTGAGCCCGCGGGTTCGAGACCCGCCTGGGCAACTTGGCGAGACCTCATCTTTACAGTAAATCAAAAAAAAATTAGTCGGACTCGGTGGCTCAGCCTGTAATCCCGCGCCTTTCGGAGGCTGAGGTGAGTGGATTGCCTGAGCCTGCGGGTTCGAGACCCACCTGGGCAGCGAGACCTCATCTCTACAATAAATCAAAAAATCAGCTGGGCGTGGTAGCGCATGCCTGTAATTCCGGCTACTTGGAAGGCTGAGGCGGAAGGATCGCCGGAGCCCAGCAGGTTGAGGCTGCGGTGGCCGGGAGTGGCCACTGCACACCAGTCTGGGCGACAGAGTGAGACTCCAACTCAAAAAATAAATAAATAAATAAATAAATATCATGTTAAGGGCAACCCCTTTGGGTCCCCTCCTGCCGTGGGAACTTTTCTGTCCTCTCAATAAATCCTGCTAAAAAAAAAAATCTATCTATCTAGTGGTAAACTACAGGATAGTTATTACTATTATTTATTTATTTATTGCATCAGGATCTCACTCTTCACCCATGCTGGATTGCAGTGGCATAATCATGACTCCCCACAGCTTCCATGTCCTAGGCTCAAGCTTTCTTCCTGCCTCAGCCTCCTGAGTAGCTGAGACATAGACACGTCCCAACACACCTGGCTAATTTTTTTATTTTTTGTAGAGACAAGGTCTCACTATGTTGCCCAGGCTGATCTTGAATCCTAGGTGCAGGCAATCCTCTGACCTCAGTGTCCAATATGCTAGGATTACAGGAGTGAGCCTCTGCACCCAGGATCCTAGGTATTATGAAAGTCTCTCCTCTGTTCCTCAGGTCTCCAGGTGAAGGTCCAAGACAGTACAATGCAGTGGTACCAGAAGCTGCAGGATGCTTCCTCACAGTGTGTGTTGGCCTTTGAGGGCCTGACGAGCAGTAAGGACAGCCAGGTAGGGGAGGACCGGATGGCAGTGATTCCCTGGGCCTGATGATGCTTAGAGAATGACAGCCTTGCGTCCCAAAGGAATGTGGCCAGCATGTCTTGTTATCTAATGTGAAGTGGCATCAATTTGAAACACTGTCTGCCTTCTTACTGTTTTCTTCTGGCAGGCCAAAAAGATAAAGATGGACCTCCAGAAGGCTGCCACCATCCCTGTGAGCCAAATCTCCACCATTGCAGGTTGGTCAGAAGGGCTAAGAACATGCCCCTTCACTCCACTATGTTACTTTTCAGACTGCATATCTACTTGTCTGTAAGGTTTCTATAAAAGTGTGCTTAAACAAGTATCAACAGTTGGATCAGGTTATATAAGTTATATGCATCTTATTTCTCTCCTGTTTCCTCTTCGCATAGAAGGTAATCATGATGTGTTTGTTGACTCATTTTGAATAAGCTTCCTATTAATAGTGATTTATGTAGGATGACTGTTAACTTTAAAGTTGAAAGAGCCAGGCATGATGGCTCACGCTTATAATTCCAGCACTTCGGGAGGCAAGGGGATTGTTTGAGGCCAGGAGTCAAGACCAGCCTGGACAACATAACAAGACCCTATCTCTATAAAAATAAGAATAAATTAAAAAGTAGCTGAGCATAGTTGTGCGTACCTATAGACTCAGCTACTCAGGAGGTTGACGCAGGTGGATCACTTGTGCTCAGAAGGTAGAGGTTACAGTGAGATCACACCATGAAAGTTACTGCTGAATATATCACTAAGGCTGGGCGCAGTGGCTCATGCCTATAATCCTAGCACTTTGGGAGGCCAAGGTGAGAGGATTGCCTGAGCTCACGGGTTCGAGACCAGCCTGGGCAACTTGGCAAGACCTTGTCTCTACAATAAGTCAAAAAATTAGCTGGGCATGGTGATGCATACCTATAGTTCCAGCTACTTGGAAGGCTGAGGCAAAAGGATTGCCTGGGCCTGGCAGGTTGAGGCTACGGTGGCCGTGAGCATGCCACTGCACTCCAGCCTGGGTGACAGAGCGAGAGACACCAACTCAAAAAAAGAAAATATTACTAATGGGACCTAGGCTATTACTTGTAGACTTTGCTTTTATCCTACAACGTTAGCTTTTCCAAACTCCACACATGCCTTGTTAATAGCTGAGCACTTGTTTCTTTTCTCTCCAGAGACTGAGACTTAGAAAGTGAGAACCAGACATGAGAAAGACTATTCATTAGAACTAGAAGTCATGTTGATTGAGCTCTCCATGTGGAAGCCCCAAGTTGTCTGGGGCATGTGTACCACTGGAAAGCTCCCCTGTGTTCTCCTGGGTCTTGTTATCCAGTTCACTTGTCGTTCCCTGGAAAGCATAGGAAGGTTCCAGTCCCTGCCCTTGAGGGCCTGTGTGACAACATTTGCATGTCACTTTGCTCCTAAAATTCTTCCTAGAACAGGGCAAGGTAATAAACACGTATCGCTCGGTGGGATTTAACGTACCAGGTCCTTCACTAATAACAGCAATGGAGAGAGGCTGCCTGGAAGCCACTCCGTACCATCACTGCTATCCCCCAGCTTGTCCTTAGCCCTTCCCCTCAGTTGCCCCCAGTCGGCCTTGCTGCCTCCATCATCGGGGAAATGGAGATGTCCAGGGTGAGCTTCTCAGGTGCCCACTCCTTCTCCGGCTCCACAGCTCCAGTTACCACTTGATCGTCTGTGTCAGGGATACAGTGTCCTTCCTGCAGGGCTTTGTGTTCACCTCTGCGCTTGTTCCTTAACGCTCTGTCTCCTACCAGCCTTTGCCTCCCATATGGCCTCTCTCTCCGGTGTCCTGCAGTTCTTCCCTTTTTTTGAGTTGTAGTCTCACTCCATCGCCCAGGCTAGAGTGCAGTGGCATGCTCATGGCCCGCCCACCTCCCCCAGCATCAACCTGCTGGGCTCACAATCCTTCTACTTCAGCCTTCCAAGGAACTGGAACTATAGGCGTGTGCTACCACGCCCAGCTAATTTTTCAATTTATTGTAGAGAAGAGGTCTCACCAAGTTGCCCAAGCTGTTTTCAAACCCCTGGACTCAGGCAGTCCCCTCACCTCAGCCTCCCAAAGTTCTGGGTTTACAGGCTTGAGCCACAATGCCCGGCTAGTTCTGCCCTTTTACAGACTCCCTTCTCTGAGCCTCTAATATGCTTGCATCGCTCACAGCCTAGCATGTTTCCCTTGATCCTGTGTCTTCTACATGTTTTTTGATCTTCCTCATGTTTCCATTTGGCTCTGTTGACTGTGCCCTTCTCTGTGGAACTCTCCTCCTCTGGCTTCCATGGCAACAAACTTCCCAGGTTCTCCTCCTGCCTCTTTCCTTTGTGGACTCCTCAGTCTCCTACTTGTACCATGATTGTAGATGTTACCTGGGGGCTCCTCTTACCTAAACTGTCTTCATTCTGTGTGTCTGCATGACTTTACCCATCCCTTCTATGCTGGGGACACCCAGATCTGTCTCTGGCTCATCCCTTTCCTCTGAGCTTCAGAATCTCTAGCTTCAGCTTCCTAAGGCCCATCTTGGCCTCGATGTCACTCAGCTATTCACGTTTATTGTGTCCAAATGTAAATGACTTCCTGAGGCCTGTGCTTTCTCATATTTTTCTAAGTAATCAGTGGTACCATTGTCTACTCATCACCTTAGCCGGGAACCTGGGAGTCACCTTCATGCCTTCTTCCTCTGTTTCATTATCCACATCTAATTAGTCTCTAGTTTTGCTGTTTTCCTTTTTCAACATATTTATTGACCCTGTCTCCATCATGACTGTAAGCCCTTTTCTTATTTCTTTCTTTATTTTGAGTTGGAATCACGCTCTCTTGCCCAGACTGGAGTGCAGTATCTGATCACAGCTCATTGCAACCTTGACCTCCGGGGCTCAAGTGATCCTCCCACCTTAGCCTCCCAAGTAACTGGGACTACAGGTGCATGCCATCACGCACCTCATTTATTGTAGAGATGAGGTCTTGCCAAGTTGCCCAGGCTGGTCTTGAACCCTTGGACTCAAGCAATCCTGATGTGGCCTTCCCTCTACCAACCATATCCCATAGCTGTATTTAAATTTTCCTCCAAATCTAACTGCTCATGGACATTCATCTTTCTTTTTTTTTTTTTTAATCAGTATTTTTTATTATGATTTTGTGGGGTACAGTTAAGGGTTAGGTATACAATTACGTTTCATTCAGGCACCCTGTTGATAAGAGGTGTTTCCCCATCTCCAGACAGATATTTGCGACTGTTAATCCCATCCCCCTCCCCCCCATAGTTTTCCAGTACCGTCAGTCATTTTCTTATAGTATTACATTGGATGTTCAAGGTCCATTATATGAGTGAGAATATGTGATACTCGGATGACATTCACCTTTCTTAAAGGGACAGACATTAGATCATCTTACTCATTCAATATTTATTGATCACTAACTTTAGAGCATGCTGTGTGGCGGCTTTACTAAACTTTAAAAGGGCTTACAGGCAGATGTGGTGGCTCACACCTGTAATCCCAACACTTTGAGTAAGCATCAAGGTAAGAGCTGACTTTCGTAACTGGAGAAGTACGAAGAGGGGCTGGATGGAGGAATTCAGCCAGTGGGGTCCTTTTGTTTTTGTTTTTGTTTTTGTTTTTTGAGTCGAGTCTCACTCTGTCACTCAGGCACACTCGCAGCCATGGCAGACTAGACTTGATGGGCTCAGGTGATCCTTCAGTTTCAGCCTTACAAGTAGCTGGAACTACAGGCACGCGCCACCACACCCCCCTAATTTTTTGATTTATTGTAGAGATGAGGTCTCGCCAAGTTGGCCAGACTGGTCTCAAACCCTTGCATTCAGGCAATCCTCTCACCTTGGCCTTCCAAAGTGCTGGAATTGATTATGGGCGTGAGCTCCAGGCCATTTTTTGAGTCAGAGTCTCATTTTGTCACCCACGCTGGAGTGCAGTGGCTTATCATGTCTCACTGCAGCCTCTAACTCCTGGGCTCAGAGATCATCCCATCTCAGCCTCCGGAGTAGCTGGGACTACAAACGTGCACCACTCCTGGCTAATTTTTTGATATATTATAGAGATGAGATCTTGCCAAGTTGCCCAGGCTGGTCTCAAACCCCTGGGCTCAGGCAGTCTTCTCACCTCTGCCTCCCAAAGTTCTGGGATTACAGACTTAAGCCACTGTACCCAACTATGTACAATTCTGTATCTTATTTGATAGATTGCTGTTCTTTGGTTCACATGGCAGGTGTAAGACCCCACTCTGTGTCAGTGTGTATGTTTCAGGGCCAGCCACTTCAAGGAATTGACTCTTAGCGGGCTGACTGGCTCACCTTGACTGCCCCTAATCTAGCTGTAGGTTATTGGAGTGAGGCACACAGGACCTCTGATATGATTACAGCTGTGAGGAACCCACTCCTGTGTCTCTGAGGGCAGAGGAAGGCAGATCCCAGAGATGGGGGGAAATCAGCATAAGCTGGGCATATTCTTTGGAAGTCTTTTTCTAGCGATGTGACTGACTCTGGGTATATCATCTGCAGCCTGTAAGATCTATAACACAATTTAACACCTATTTCTATAGTGTATATCTCTTTGTTTTTTGTGTGTCAGTTTCAGAATCAGTTCCTTCCCAAATAAGGAATTCCTTGGGCATAGTAGCATGACTTGCATACTTTTACACCTCCACAATGTGCATTTGATTGTCATATATTCTTCTGCATCAGTGTTTTGGCTTCAGGCTCTGAGCTTTTGTAGGGCTGCACAACAAGATTTCTGCAGCTGTTTTGTTGTTACAGTGGTGAAGAACAGCTTGATCTATGATTGTGTCTTTTAATTAACTTTCTGTTATACCCAGGCTCCAAGCTGAAGGAGGTCTTTGACAAGATCCATAGCCTGCTTTCTGGAAAACCCGTTCAATCTGGTGGGCGCTCTGTGTCAGTCACGCTTAACCCCCAGGGGCTGGAATTTGTCCAGTACAAACTGGCAGAGAAATTTGTGGTAAGAAACTTTGTTACCAGAGGTGTGGGAAGAAGAGGCTGGTACAGGAGATTTCAGCTTTCATCAGGTATTAACATAAAATTGTACCCACCTCTCTGTGTTCTCAGAAACAAGGTGAGGAGGAAGTGGCCTCCCATCATGAAGCAGCGTTTCCCATCGCAGTTGTGGCATCTGGGATCTGGGAGCTCCACCCCAGAGTGGGAGACCTCATTCTGGCTCATTTACATAGGAAGTGTCCTTACTCCGTGCCTTTCTACCCAGCTTTCAAGGACGGAATGGCTTTGGAAGACTATCAGAGGTAAAGTTGTTTTTCTCCTTCCTCACTATCCCTAGGGTGATTAATGATATATAAATAGAATTGGAATTTGTTTCCCTCCTCCTAGCTCCTCTTGTGTACCTTGAATGTTCTGTCAGAAACAATGTCTTTAGCAAACTGTGGCTTTGGGATTTATGGTTTAAGTGAGGCCAAGCATAGTGCTCATGCTGTAATCCCAGCACTTTGAAAGGCCAAAGCAGGAGATTGCTTGAGCCCAGGAGTTCGAGACTAGCCTGGGCAACAAAATGAGAACTCTTTTTATAAAAAAGTTAAAAATTAAGGTGAGCCGGGCTCGGTGGCTCAGCCTGTAATCCCACGCCTTTGGGAGGCTGAGGTGAGCGGATTGCCTGAGC